CTCTGCTTATACTGGCTGACCAAAGGTTAGATGGCATGAGCAAAAACCACCTTCTTCCTCTGGAGTTTCCAAAGTTGCCTTCCCCTGTTCACAGCAGCAGTAAGAAGCCTGTTGTGTGTGCATACATGTATTTTTATGGACTTTGTTAGTCTTTTTTATCACCAATGTGTAGAGGTGGAGAAGGAAAATGGTAAGTCTTGCTTATTTCTTATTTTGTGGAATACTGTGCTGGTGCACTGTGCCATACCAGGCCCATCTCCACTGCTGTCTCGGCCCAGACCCTGCCTGTGGCCACAGGACCCTCTCATCCATCACATGTATTGAGGCTTCTGCTGCTCCCTGCTGTGTGCCCTTCTCTGCCGCTGCCCCTTGCGCTGTTGGAAATGGCCGACACGCCTGTCTGGCCTAGCCGGCTATTAGAGTCGGTTGAGCGTCCCTGCGCGGTGTTTGCTGGTCCTCCAGGATGGAGCTGTGGAGGTCCATCAATGGCTTGAGTGGCCATAAATGTGGCAGGGTCACCCGGTGGGACCTCTCGCCAGAGATGAGGGCGTGCCTGGCTGCCCGCAGCTGCTGACCCAGCGCTGAGAGCTTGTGGCCTGGGCTCGGGCAGGATGGCGGCAGGGCACCATGGGGAACTCTGGAAAAGGCCTGTGGTGCAAGGGTAGCCCGGGCAGCCCCCCTCTGGTGGGTCTGGGGGGCTCTGCTGGTGCTGGGAGGGCCATGCCAGTGCCACAGGGGCCCCTTGAACTGTGGGGTCTGCCCTGGCGGTGTTAGCGCACAAAAGCAGGGGCATCCGGGAGGCCTCAAGTCAAGCAAGCCCTGGCAAAGAGGTGCTCATGTTGACGTCTCCATGATGACAGTTTGGAGGAGGAAGGAAGTATTTCCATGTACCTTCGGTTTAGTGCGTATCTTGAAGAGGCGGTGTGGATGGATGATGATTTTTCTATTTTATATGGCCTCTGAAACAGTGCTGGAAGAGCTGTTCCTGGCAACTTTTTCCATTATTGAAAACTTTCTTTCCCGCCCACCCAGTATGAACAGCTTTTCCTGGGACATGCTTCATCAGCAGGTTCCAGTCTTGGTTTGGGTTTCTTCCTCCTGTTACTAGATACCTCCTTTGGGTGACTGTCTTGGGAGCTAGCATCTGTCAATAGCCTTGCCCAAGTGGGAAGCCTGTTCCAGTTGCATGCCCTGTATCTTAAATTCAAGTGATACCATAGTTGTTATATCATTGAACCTTCAAATAGGCTCTTTTTCTATCAGCTAAAGCTGTACATGCTCTTCATTTCTTGCACTGTATCAAGTGAAGTGCTTGGTACTACTTTGCTAGTAACTGTGGGGTTATTATTTAAAATCTGCTTTGACTTCCTAGAGGTTGTATTAGACTAAAACACTTTCTGCAAGTTTCACTGTCCATGTCTTGAGTATCTAGGAAAATCAGTGTTAGACGGGGTGTAAACTGTCTTCACATGTGCTTCTGATAAAATAAAGAATGTGAAAGGGTGGGGCAGAAAGGGAGTGGAGATCAAGAGGATTTAATACATATGCTTAATAACGGGGAGAATGCATGTTAAATATCCTTATGTTATCTTGACACTAAGTGTGGAGAACTATGTCTTTATTATATAGTAAAGCCATATGTAAAAAGATAGACGTTAAAGCACTAAGGAGGCTGCAAATGAAAACAGGCTGTAAAACTTGGAATGCTTGCTCTGCAGGGAGCACAGAGAGGCAGACACTGAAGTCTATAAAATAGATAATAGAAAATGTTGTTAATCCTTGACTTTCAAAAGGACAAAAATCAGCAGAAGTCATTAAAAAGCACCAAGAAAACTCTTAGAAAATTTTGAGTGGTTGAGGAGAGCTATGTTTAGTGTTATGAAAGGCATTGTTTTGGAATTGCATTAGAATACAGGATTCATCTGGGGGTGTGTGGGGGTTTTTTAATTATTATTTTAGTGTGCATGATCTGGTTTGATATAAACAGAGTCAGGGACAGCCCAGTGACATACTTTGAAAAGTTATACAGTCCATTAAAGAGCTAATGGCATTAAACAGCTCTCTTTTTACAGGCTATGGATTTTGAATCAAAGAACAGTTTCATAGGAAGCTTTCTTCAGCCACCAGATAAGATGCTTCCTGCAGCCTTTGCTTATATAGAATCAAAGAAGTTGGCAGCTGTTGGTGGTGACAGGGCTTCTATCCCCAATAACCAAGGTAAAGCCAAAATGTGTCCTTAAAGTGGTCTTTTTAATTGTTCCATGTGAAATCTCTTGAGCAAACTCCCTGTTCTGTTTTGCTTAGTTCAATGACTTGCTGCGATTATCAGACTGACACTGAGACAGGATGTATATGTGTCCTGAGGGAGTAGTCTCCTTGAAGTCATACGTCTGGAATGGAAACTGCTACAAGTCTTCTAACATCCTTACAAACTTTGGCTTTGAAAATTGTTTAACTTAAAATTGTCAGACTTCCTCTAAAAGCAAAGGAGAATGCTTCAAACTCAGAGAAGCAGTTAATGACTTTAAATACAGCAAAAAAAGGTCGTTACTATGGTACATTGACTTGAAATTGGCCTTGTGTAGTGCTATTCGGGTCCCTCTCGCTTAAAATCACTTATGAAGTTTTTTATGTGGTATGATTCCTTGGGAGAACTTTTGAATAACACAGATCCTCAGGAAAGCTGGCAGCATAAAAGTTATTCTGTGTGAAATATGGGTCCACTGTAACTGTCCCATACCTTAATTGGTGATTACTCTCTGGAGCTCACAGGACAAATGCTCACTCAGTAGCTTAGCATTTCTGGAGAGCTCAGTAAATCACAAGGATACCATACTTGGATTTGCTGTCATGGACAACTTTGCAATATTGCACAGACATAGCTTATGTATGTGTATGTGTGTGATCATTGTTCTTTCATTTGAGGAATCTGTCACTTCTGTAGAGAAGAGTCATGCAGAATTTGGGCTTTTTGAATTAAAATGTTCAGTTTAATGATGGAAGAAGTCCCACTACATCTTTCTACTCTGTGGTATCTTCAGGGTTTTTTGTTTTGTTGGAGTTTTTTAGTGGGGATTTTTATTTTTTTAGTTTTATTCTAATGGGACTATGATAAGCTGATAGGAGTTATTGTGGAGCTAGCAATATTTGCTGGGTATTCCTTTACTGAGAGAATTGGTATAGGGAAAGTGTCAAAGCTTATAAAACGTCAGAAAAGAAGCTTGACTTGTTGCAGTACATGTCTTAAACTTCCACAGGTGTGTATGGTTCTTGGAGAGCTAGTAGACTTCTCCTTGTAGTTGAAATTGCAATTTTTTTTTTTCTGTGTAGTTTTGACACATACTGATTTGAGGCTAAAAGCAAAATCTTGCAGACTTGTTTCTATGGTTTAAAGAATCATCAAATACAAGAAACTAGACATTGAATCATTACCTTTTGAAACAATAAAGCTTTTAAAGCGTGTCCTTTACTAAAATGTCCCTTTGTATCTGATTTCCCTCCTGTGCCGAGTCTGTTTTTTGGGCGTTTTTTTAGTTGTTTGTTTTTGGTTTGGTTTTTTTTTTAATCTGTCCACACTGGTTGCATTATACCAAAACTTGTAACCTAAGCTGAATACCAGTGTTCCCTGCTTCTGTGTAAATGTAAGTCCCAGGGTTTGTTATACTCAATTTGCCATGATTTCTTTGTGCTTGTTACCATTTGGAGTGAAAATAGTTTTGCTCATAGGTCCTGTGCCTTATACCTCAGTTATGCAGTAAGCATGTCCATTTTCTGCCAGGTATTTTCTGCATGTGTTAGTCTACTGCCAGGGAATATAATTCATTTTAGGAGTGATCCTAGGAGAAAATTTAGGTAGTATTCTGCTCTTTTAAGTGTTTTGTAAAAGATAATAATAATAAAAAATAATTAGAACTGTTACTTCAGGTGTAACTGTTGCATTGTTTGCTAGCCGTGATGACAGCCCTAAAAATGCTTCAAGAAAAGATCCGCCGTCTAGAGCTGGAGAAGTCACAGGCTGAAGATAATCTGTGCAGCCTCTCCATAGAAGCTGCTCGGTATAAGAAGGCCTTAGACCATGAATCCCACAAAAAGGACACAGTGCATCAGGAACTGATGCAACAGAGGAAAGGTATTTCTCTTGAGTGATCAGGTGTAGCCACAGCGACTCCAAGACTGCATAATACAGGGAGTGTTTGTTTGTTTTGACAAACTGCTAATTAATGCATAACCCCCCTCCCTTTCTTTTTTGCTTCAAAATTGGGGAGGGGCAGGAGCTTGATTATTGTGGATCAAGTTGAGATCTTTTTTTTTGCGTATATTATCCAAGTATTGCATAAGCCATAAAGCTATTTTAAAGAATAAGCAGATTTCAGGTGGTATGTTTTAACTCCTACAATAAGCTAGCAGCTGCTTACTTGTATAACCCTGCTAACTTGAGAAAAATGAGGAGAAGGGAAGAAACTGGATTCTGGTTCGATATCTGCTGATAAAAATCAAAGTAACTGCAATGCTCACGCTTTTGGAATTCAAATTAGGGACTAGCTCTGGAAAAGCAGTTTGATTCTCATGTCTTATAGAGAAAATATATCTTAACCATATGGCTTGTTCAGACTAACAAAACTTCTCTTACATGTTTTGAAGACAGAGAATTCCTCAATAAGTTGACAGACTGGCTAAATGTGTAGCTCCCATTGCTGTACTGAATGTCTTTGTTTCTCTCTGTAGATGTAAGTGTGCAGTTAAATGCAGCACAATCCCGCTGCTCTCTGCTGGAGAAACAGCTGGATTACATGAGGAAAATGGTTTCCAGTGCGGAACTGGAAAAGAAAATGGTTTTAAAACAACAGGTGAAGCCTTCTAGCATACTAACGAAGTAGTGATACAGTTAAAAAGTATAGAAATGTGTAAGATCTGAACTTTTTTATGGCCATCATTTTTCCTCAGCTCTGCTCAGGGTGGTAGCAAACGGAAGCAATTTACTGTCTGACTGGCTGATGACAACCGTTCAGTGAATTGTATGAAAAGACTCCCTAGGTGGAACGCCTAATGAGCAAAACCATGCTAATACTTGCACATTTGGTAGACAAAAAGGCTGCTGGAAACTTAAGTCTTCTTTGTCCGCCTGGTATTTTTCATCACTTTGCAAATTAAAAAATATGAAATTTAAACTAGTTAAACACCTTCACTGCAGCGTGTTTGGTTTTTTGCTGTCTGAAGCAATTTCAGTCAGCTGCCAACTCCCTTCTCGCTTACTTTTTTCCAGGCCCAGTTTCAGAAGGAGGAAGATCAGAACCAGTTGGAACTGCATGCAAAACTTGAAAAGCTTGAAATGCTAGAATTTTTTGTCTTAAACTTACTGCTACCCAGAGAACTGCAGAAGTAAGCATGCATGGAATGACAGTCTGAAAGTCATTCATTTGATATCATTTGTATGGCATACTGTTAATAGCACTAAGTTTTGCAAAAGTTTCCTCTGTTAAAGCTAAGATCATAACACATACCTGACTGAATGCCACCTTGGCTTCATTTGCATGACTGTTTTTTAAAGCCTATGACTGGGCTTTAAAAATTCCTACAGTCCTGTTTTATCCCAGACTAAAGTTGCAAGCTACTTCAGACTTCTGATTCAGCATGGCAAACTAAAGTGTGACTAATCATTCTTGCCTTCAAATGCAGTACAAGATCAAACAGTTACAAGAAAAGCTTTGTAAAGAAGAGCTTCAGCGTAAGCTGATACAAGACAAAACTGCTCAGGTAGACTGAAGAGGTTTTATTTTATCTTATTTGTATGACTGAAGAAAGCTATTATTTCTGTTCAAAATAACCTTTATTGTTACATTTAAACTCCTCAAGTTTATTACCCAGGGAGAACTCCTGGAATACTACCTAGATCAATTATAAACTACATAGTAGAAAGTTTGCCAGATGTGTTGCATACCTCAATCAAGGAAGATTCTACTTGGTTTTATATTAATGATACAGTTCATCAGCCTCAAAGCTGCTGTAAGTGCTCTGGGTAGAAAATTCATTTCTAGAAAATTTACAACTAGATCAGATAACCTTAACTCACAGTAACTAGAAAGTGGTCATGTAAGAAACTTTATACCTGAGGTTGGCTCTTCTGTTTGTTTTCCTCTTTTTGTTAAGATCTGCTGAAATCTAATTTATTGGACCGTACTTAGAAAAGTCTTTAATCAGCAATACTGGTGCATTGTTCAGTAAGTGAGAGCTTGAATAATTCATTATTCTGTGAACCCATAATCAGTTTGTTGGGCCCCCATCCATCTGAGAGAGGAATATTTGCCAAAAAAAAGCAAAATCAAATAAACCTTTTGTTAAAGGGGCGAAGAAGTAGTAGTATTCCAAACATCACTTCACTGAGAAGTAACAGCCATTTAAAAGAGAGCATTTGTGGTGGCGTTCCCTTGGGGCAGGGTGGGGGGATGCAGAGCTGAAGAATAGTATTGAAAGAACATAGCCATAAGCGAAGCTGACAGCTTAAATTAATTCATCCCTGCTGTCAGTTTTTATACCTCATACAAGGATGATGGGCTTTCATCAGTCCAGGAAGCTTGAAATAACTTGCAGATTGTAGCCTGGGTGTCTGACCACCTCCAGAAACCAGCAGAATGACACAGTTGAAAACTTGCAGGTTTTTGAGTTTCTTGCTTAAACTGCTTTGCTGCTGCAGAGCAGAAGGCCTAGTATGGAGGTTTTACCTTCTGAGAAATGTAGTAAGAATTACTTTCCCAGAGTAGATAGTCTGACTTTATCAGTAGTATAAACATTTGCTCAAGTAAGGACTTAGTATTAGTATTACTAGAAGTACTAGTATTAGTACTATCTTAGTTCACTGCAGGATGGATTTGAGTCTGTTGGGTCTGGGTTGGGAAACACAGGATGTGGAGTGGTTTGCTTCTTTTTGATGACAGAAAAGCCAGAATAATCTCAGTTTTGTGATGGACCTCCAGCATTGTTTAGCTGGAACTGTTAGGCATGCCAAAACAAAGCCTTTTTCCTGTGTTTAATTGGGAATGGCTATTCTGTTTATCATGGGCCTTGATATCAACTTTGAACTACACAGCAGTCTGAGGATTGTCTGGCAGGTTTGACCTCAGTGCTACACAGACGGGCTCAGTTCTTTCAGCCCCCAGATCATAAGATCCAAATGTTCATACTGGATTTTGTGATCAGATCCCCAGCATGTGGCAGGATTGGCTTATCTCAGCCGCTGGTTGTCACAGTGGAAAAATACAGCTGCTGCAGCTGAATATGAAAACGAGGACTTCTAAGACAGAGCTGCAAGATCTGCCTGACACCCTGCCATCCCAGTAATCTGTTCAGTTTTTAAGTCTAGCTTATACCTTCCAAGCAGGACAGTTAATAGTGCCCTTAATTGGTTCTCATCCATGCATGAAACAGGAAATTAATTAAACCATGTGATTTCATACTTCTAATGTTACATTAAATGATTGCTTTCTTTTTTGCTTATTCCCACAGTTTCAAACAGGATTTGAGATAAGCAGAATTTTGATGTCTTCAGTAACATCTCAAAATGAACCTAAAAAGGAAAATGGGAAGAAGAAAAAAACTAGGAAGGTAACGTGAAAGTTTTTATTAGCATACTGTTGCTGATAGGCATTTGACTTGCACAGAGATTGGAATTTGTGAAAAATTTTGATGTAAGAGGCACTTGATTTGTCTGCTGCACTTTACTCCATTTCCAAAGTGATGAACAGTGCTGAATGCTTCACTTTTTTTTTTTTTTTCTCTTTTTTTTCAAACTTAATTTAACATTTAATTAAAATGATGCTAGGGCTGGTAGTACCTCACTGGAAAACTTTCCCCTACTAGCATGACAGTAACCTGAGTTACAGTCTTACTACCTTCCCCCATGTCCTGTCTTAGCTGCCCTTCAGTGTATCTGGCAAAATTAGTTTCCAAAACAATTTTAACTAGGCATCTTAAGATGGTGTGTTTTGGGGGGATTGCTGAAACCAAGAGAATTCATTTTGCAACACGTGTTACAGGTCAGTCAAAATTTTGCAACTGTGGTTTTGCAAACTTAAGTAAGCAATGCTCAGTTTCTTTAATGTCAACTGATTGTCAAACTATCTGCTAAGTGCATCAGGAATAAAATTTACTTGGCTGCTGGGAAGTCCTAGTCCTTCCACATACAGGAGGGATTTTATTTTTTTTTAAACCAGAGGGATACTGAGGTGATGCATTCACTGCTTGTTTATTTGAATTTTACTTATTGAAAAAAAGTTTAAGATTGGGCTGTTGGGTCAGCAGACTGGAATTTCTTGTCTTACTTTTTCTGTCTGTCTTATGTCAGAGAAATCCTCCAGTGAAGAAAACACACCTTAGGCAATTAAATGTAAAGGCTGGTGAACTACCTTTTGTGGCTGGGAAGGTGAGTGAAACCAAATGTTCTAGCTAAATTGGCATCTAAGGTTTGAATAAGTCTCTTTACTGTAATTGTTAATAACTTCTGTAATAATTCTGCTTTAAGTCTGTCAGTTCCAGCCATTCTGTCAGTGCAAACGTACAAAGCGTTTTGCATATGATGAAGCATCGCAACCCACATACCTTATCACGAAGCCAAGGAGGAGCTACATCTGGGATTTCAGGACGCAGTGCGCGTTCAAAATCTGTATCCTCTTGTTCCACATCACCTACTGGCACCAGAAATCTTTCAGACCTTCTGTTGTCCATACAAGATGAGCTGGGCCAAATGAGCTTGTGAGTACTCATCCCTCATGTTGTGAGTAAAAGTGACTTCAGTGGTAGCCTTGTGAAGCTACATGTGTGTTAATAGTTGAGCCTAGCCTGTTTTAAGTGTAGGACTACTTGTTAACAGAATGGCCATACCAGGCCTAACTGGTAGGATTTTTCTCATTCAAAAAATTCTTTCTATCCTGGTGTTTAACTGATCTTGTGAGCAAACAACATACTCTTTGGCTGGGTTTTTCTGCTTCCACATTCTGTACTTAACCAAGCTGCTACTGAAGTAACAGCTGCAGGAACTGAAAAATCTCTCAGTTGTGTGCTTTTTAGAAATTTTAGACGTATTCTGAGATTACAGAGTAGAACAAGGATGTTCTTCTGGAGAAGACTGCAAAGGTGATGTTAATGTTGAGTAGGCCTGCAGCATGCAGTCGGTCTGGGTGGTAGAATAGGTTAGTACAGCTGTGGCAGGAACAGTCCTGTCGCAACATCTAGCCTATACCTTTGTACTTGCTCTTTCTGTGTTCTCTCTGTATGTGCATACCTGGTGGTTCTTTGTGCTGAGACAGTCTGGTGTTCATACCCTTTCCTTGTTGACAGCAGGAGAACTTGCCAGTCCTGTAAGTGGGTTGTGAAAGAGGGACAGTCTCCTGCCAGAAAATGTGCAGGGTGTGGAAGAAGCAAACGCATTAGATGGGAGTGTATGTGTCTTTCTAGCCACGCAAATAAATGTGGATCACAACTTGTCATGTTCCCATCAATGCAAGCTTGTAGAATTGTGGGCCAGAGCTACATAGCTGGTCATAGTAGACATGACAACATGATGAGCTGTGGTTTGAACAGAGGAGGATGTGTTGGTTAAACCAGTTAGGATGTTGACACTGATTTGAAATCCTCGATGTGGTAAAATTGAACCTGGCAACCAATCTCTTCTTTAAAAAACAACATTTGGCTTACTCATGGCAATTCAAGGATAAGCTGCCTTTTTTTTTTTCTACAGCAACAACCAGTTGCTTCAGTTAAAGTGTCAAGGAGCAGCAGTTACTTGGAAGTCAGAAAAGAAGCCGTGACCTTTGTAAAGAGATTATTTATCTAAGAGAGGCTCTCTGTTTTTGATTAGTTCAGATATCTAGGTATCAAGTAGATCTACACAATTTCTTTTAATTAAGCTGGTTAATTAAATTAACCAGCACACTTCGCTGCAAATCTTTTTGAGTAGAATATTTTAATTTGAGTAATCTGTCAGAAAAACTATAACTTAAAGGTACTTGTTTAAACAAAACTTTAAGCTTTCAAAGTCTGCACTAAATTGGGCAGGAAATGAAAATACCATACTGCCTAACTGCTGTTCACTTTCCAAATTCTCATTTTGCACACTATTACACATGCAGTTGTTATGACTGCGGCAAGAGGGACGAATAAGATGCACATCGGCTACAAATTCGGAACGAGAAAATCAGACCCACTAGAAAAACTTTTCTAGTGTGAATATATTCTGCATTAATGTGTACTGTGTGAGAGGGTAAATAATGCTATATTGCTGTACTCTGGACAAAATGGTTTGGCAACTCCTGCAATACACTGAAAGTATTGGAAGAAATTCCAGAGACTATATGATGAATACTTAGTGTGCCATTCTTGTCTTTAATAGTGAGCATCAAGAACTTCTGAAGCAGATTCAGGAGACTCAAGACTCCAGAGTTCGTGAAGACCTAGAATGGGAGCTGGATTGCCTTGTAAAACAAATGGAGATTAAAGGAGAACAAATATCCAAGCTGAAAAAGCATCAGGCTACTGTAAGAATAAAATATAAACTCTCTAGGCAGTAACACACTAGTTGAAAGGCTGCCACAATTCTGCCTCCTGTTGTCATTAACTAGAATGTCACTGGAATGCTTAAGCCAGGATGTTCCAGTCTGATTATAATTAGGCTGCTAGCTCAGTGTTCTTGTATCTCCAATTCCTTCTTTTGATCAAGAAGAAGTGCTTACAGCTGGCAGCGAGGAATGTACACTAGTGGGAAAACTTCCTGCCCTATGGCAGTTTTGCAATACAGAGCTGGGTTGCTCAGTCTGTCACTTCTGCTCACTGCATTAGGACAAACTGTTGAGATTTAATTCCTTTGTGTCCTGTCCCTCTAGGGAATGAGAAAATAGAAGCTGTAATTCCCGTACAGACTGGATTAAATGTCTTTTATATTACTGAAATATTGAAGCTTTTTATTAACCAAATAGTCTGTTGACCACAGCTTCTCCACAATCATAGCCAGACAAACCTTTCAGTTCTGTTTAACCCCTAACCCGTACGCATTCTATCAGTGTTTGTTTTAGAGCCATAGGTAATAGCTATGTCCATAGAAAATCACGCTTCGGTGGATGAACAGCTTACCCCTTTTGTAGCAACTTTGTTTGGAACATATGAGAAAAAATTGCAATCCGTGGTTCTGTCTGATAGTTTTCTGTTCTTCCACCTTAAGTTTCCGGATAAATAGACTCACTTAAGAACTTTGCTTATACAGGAAACAACGTAAAACTCGGTGTGAGACCTTATGAAGGGGGGAGGTGACAGTTAATTTAAATTGGACCAATTTTATTCACGTTCATTCTTTGATAGGTTTTACTTACTCAAACCTTTTATTGTCTGCATAATTGCAAGCGCAAAGGTGTTCATGTCAAAGTAGAATTGTCAGAGTTGCATGTTAGCAATATGGACAAAGGACAGTGATTGTTGAGTCCTCACTGCGTCTCTTGGCAATGTCAACTGTTTTTTTTTTTGATGAATCTCTTATATTCTTGAGGAGCCAACAGTTAGAGTGTTATTCCTTGCCTCAGAATCTTGCTAACTTCATCCTCCAGGAACCTTAGACAATGGACAACTGCACCTTTGTTTCTTCCTTTGCATGTCTTTATGGCTACAGTCTGCTTTCAATTTGGGGCGATGAGGAGGGGAATAGCAGTACAATGTGGTGCAACCTTGTTGTCATCCTTGCCTGTTATCAGGGTGCAGATCTGCTAGCAAGTCATCTGTGCTCTGGTACAACCATATCAGAGCACACGCCTTAGGGTCATGATGTAAATAGCACATTCTTCGTGCTTGTCTGATTACTGTCCATCATGCCCTGGTTATCAATACAGCCACTCCTGTAACCCTTGGCTTTTCTGACAGACGTTTCTATTTGTATTTTGTACAGACCAATCTTAATATTTTTGATGCATATTTCTGCTTTTAGAACCTGTCACACTAAAAATGTAGTCATTTCTCTGTCTCACAGTTAATAATATGTTTCAGAATGCAATTAAAGTTAATTATTTTTAGAAATGGACTTAAAGCCTAAATTGGCATATGGAATGCTTCCAGCCTAATTTTATCTTTGTGAGTGACCTTTTCATGCCAAGTGCAAGTCAAGACTTACTATTTAACACTTAAAAATACATTCTTTAGCAATCAACCCTATTTATTCTGCTTTCCAGTTTTGTTATGAGGCTTCAAAGTAAACTGCTTAGATACAGTAACTGATAATACACAGTGTATATTTTATAAGCTTGTTGGCTTTTTTTTAGGGTTTTTTTTTTGTTAGGTAGTACAATCTGAAATGGAAAAAGAAGGTTGTAAATATAAATCAGTAACAGATGATATTCTGTCTCTTTCAAGCGAGCATTTTACTTGAGGGAGTGATGGGGTTCAACAACCTATTGAGTGTGGGTGAGGTCAGTGTTATGTAATGCTTTCTGTGTGGGCGAGGTCAGTTTTCTGAAGTGCTTTCTGTTACAGCAAGACAACTGTGTGCAAGATATTTTTTTTATGTTTCTTAGACATCTTTAGTTTGAAGTTTTGTAGAAGTTCAGTAAGCTCTACAGCTGTGGATCTTCCGAGTATGTAACGTTCTAATTAGTAATCTTTCTTCCTAGGTGCAGAAATTAAAGAGAAAAACTCAGAAATTGAAGCAAGGGGAAGCTCATGTCAGACTAAAGTGTGGTGACCAAAAGGAAGCAAAGGAGATAACAGTTGCTGTAAGGGAAAGTATGTCTAAATCTTGTCCTGGGCAAAAAAGCAGAAGCTCTCTTCAGCTGCTAAAAAATGTGCGGAAACTTCAGTCAACACTGAAAAAAGATGATATCATGTGGGAACAATAGTTCTGAAGTTTACTGTATTAGAAGTTTTTGAAGTTGTCTGACAGCTAGTAAATTTTTAATTTCACAAAATACCTTTTAAAAATAAAATAGTTATAGCATAGATAAACATTCTAAACTACCTGCTCACTAGTAGGTCAGTTTCTTCACCTCAGAATTAACTGTAATGGAGGGTAGATGTAATTGAACTACACTGACTTGTAATAAAATGTTTTAATGGATTAATGAAATGCTTATTTGTTAACTTGTCAAATAAAATTTTATACCTTTTTTACACTTAAAATCATATGCCATCTTTGATGTCCTGTTCCCTCCGCTGCCAAGGAGATACTTAGAGCTTGCTTTTCCAGAGTGACTTGAGCTGGGGCTTCTGTTCAGATAAATAGTGTTTTTCCTTTTCTCTAATACCTGAGAATTGAGATCATTGCAACTGAGGCAGAAGAAGAGGTAGTGTCTCTTATTTATATACATTTTCATTATTATTAATACTATTACTCTGTGAGGTTTATTGACAGTGTTAGGGACAGCTAGAGACTGGAAGCACAACCCATTACTTGGTTAAACCACGACAACATGGGAGTGTTCTTGTTAAGTGCATGGAAGGGGCCACTACCAAAAGCTTGGATGCTTGTCTTATCAACAGAACCTGCTTCTGCCGCAGTATAAAATAACTGAGCTGTCACAGAGAAGTCCTTGACCTACATGGCAGTACATGTTGTGGAACTGGTGTACTTATACAAAGGCAAGATGGGTCTTTATGCTAATGGTCAGTCTGCTCTTTTCCATCCCCCACTATGCATGTATTATAAAAGACATAACAGTGACTTCTAATTGACACTGATTGTTTAGTTGTAGTACATTAACTGTCTTGAGGTTACTAACTGATACTGATTTTCCTGGGTGTTTGCTTATGTCAGAAAAAAATAGCTTCCTTGGGATATATCAGTGAAGTTCTGCTGTAGATTTCTGGTATAAAGAGAACATGGTGTTCTTCTCAAGCCCCTGTGCAGGTATGAATAAAAAGTGGAGGCATGCTCTGTTGTCAAGGGTTTTTAATAAAGGCTAGTAAAAATGTATGGTCCTAACAGAAACTTGGCTCTTTGGATCAGTAAACTTTGCCCTGTCACCCTTCAAGAGAATGGATTAGGAATTTTTTCAGACAGTTAATTTAAATTTAGAATAAAGTGTTACCATCTTTGACAGGAGTTGTGTGTGTGAGCTTTTAGGGGTGAGAGGGGGAGTTTATATGTACTAAACATCTTTATCAGGACTGTGGAAGACCAGGTTGTTCAGCTGATATTTGGGTATGGGTTTCCTACACTCTGAAATTGTATAGGCATCCTTCTTACTTATGGGTTATCTCTGGCTTAGAAGAGCACAGTGTATGCTTAAAAACACTTAAACACAGTTCTAAACATGGTGTTTTCCTTTTATAGATAGCCTTTCTGAGGTAGGTTTATGTATTTCTGGACACTGGAATTGCTGATACCAGAGACAAAAGAAAAGTAAGCATTTCTGTTATGAATGTTTTCAGATTGTGGGTATTCTGCTGCCACAAGATAAGCCTTTGCCATTCCTAGGGGTAGTTAAATAATCTCTGAAGCTCTGTACTTGTATGTGAGAGAGCAAGCAAGAAGGTCCTTACCAAGCCCTAAGGAGCCCAGAGCATTATGTTTCATCCAGAGGCCCAGCCCTAGGCAAAAACCATCAAGCACTGGATTGAGAGAGAAAAATTGCCATCAATTTGCCTCACATACATAAAACTGAGCAGAACGATTTTGAATGGTGGCAGTGTCAGGAGTGAGAGAGCAAGAAGTGCCCTGGGCTTGTGGCTGGGGGCTGAGCGGCCACCACAGCTCCTGTAGCTTGGGGTTGCTATAGGGACAGCTGGGCCTGTCCGGGCAGGGAGCTGGCACATCAATCACCTGTTCCCTCTGTGCCTTGACCTAGTATTTTTGTTGACTATGGAAACCTGGGGAGAGCGGGCTATTTTGGAGCTGGAGCTGGGGAAGTGGAGTCCTGGCTCCCCTCTTGGCAAGGGGCTGTGGTGGAGGGCAGCAGCTTTGAGTCAGTCAACCAGGTACTGGGTGGGGCCATGCTTGCATTGAATAGTCAAAATGTGCATGCCAGCAGGGACTGTCCAGCCCTAGAATAAAGCTGCTCCGTTTGCCTTTCTGTGGGGCAAGTGGCTGGAGGGAAAGGGAAAGGACTGAACCCCATCCTGTTGGCAGCTGAGCGTTTCCCATCTCTGCCTGCTTCAGAGGGGGACGAGGAGCTGAAAAAGCTGACATGCTCAGAGCCAGGAGCTGGGATTTGAGAGAGGAAAATAGGAATGGATGATACGTGAGCTTACATAAGTTGACAGGGGTGCATCACTTGTATTTCAACTCAGAAGATTTCATTGGATTTTAGTAATTCTTTTGTGCTGCTTTTTTTCTGGAGCTTTTATTTCTCTAGTGCATGTGTTTTTGCACACTAAAGGAAAGCAGATGCACTTCAGCAGGGGCTGAGAGAGTCAAACCAGATACAAAGGAAGTGTATCCCAAACAAATTTTATTCCTTGAAGAAACTCAGAAAATTTGTTTTCAAATTGTATCTTGGAAGGGGGGGGGAGGGTAGAAGATCAACTTTTTCACAGGTTGAGACAATTGTCAATCACATAAAGTAAGTCTTCAAAGAAATAGACAGCAATGAATGATTTTGCAGAAACCACAGTGGAGAAGTTAAGCTTGTGCACAAGCGTTGGCAAGGTTCAGCTCTGCGAGAATTAGGCAGGCAGATTGCAGTGTATTTTACTGGGATCTGAATGCTTTATGTCTTATGCTCCAAAAAAGTTCTGGCCTGGAACTCTGTAAATGTACATTTGGAGAAAGCTCAGTGGTCAGGGCAGGCTTCTTCACCAGAACAATGTATTTTGGCTTAAGCGCTTGCTCTACTCTTTTACAGATCCTTGTTTTGATTTATATCCTGCATGTTTTTGTTTGTCTTCTCAGACGAAACTCTGTATTTCTTTTTATGAGTCTTTTGTATCTAGCTATAAAGGGCAGCAGACAAAAACACACAGTGATCCCAAAAAAAGACTAATTGGTTTATTTACTCAAAATCCGGGTTCTTTTACGCTGAGTTATGCAAAATTGCCACAACAGGTTTTGTTAGTATTTGAATCTAGGGTCATATTTTATGGCTAGACACTAAGGAAATTGGACAAAAGATGTAGGTCAAACAGTATAATTAAAAATACAGACCAGCAAGTCGTATCCAACAATAGTTCACTTTCCTGCTGCTAATGAAATATGCTTGCATAAATTAATGGCTTGTTACTTAAGCCTGCTGGAAAGACTTTGTCCTACTACAAAAGGCATTCAGTTTGAGCATGTGTGTTACAATCTTCTAACCAGCAAAGCCGGAGATTGGACATAGCTATAAATCCAATGTGTTCTGGGAATAGAAACTGGCAAAAACACTCCCAACAAAATAATCAGGGCAGGATCTCGCTGGGATTTGGATACTGGCTAACCTAACTAAGTGCAGATGTTTATGTGGACCAAAAGGCATTCCCAGAATGAGGATACTGTACAAACACATGGTGATTTTTATAGCAGAAAAAAACAAGGAAGAGGGGTAATAAAACATGTGCTCTTCTTTCTGATGAAGAATTCTCTGTTTTCCTCAGCTTGCCTGTACTGAAGTGGGCACGGCTGTCTCTGCAGTATCCCCTGCAGGGGCCTGTTGAAGCTACTGCAAGTCGCTTGGGTTGTGGCTCTTGTGCTTACCTGAAGGTCTCCATGGGCTCCTCGTGTGGGTCCCATAGTCTCTTTTCCATCAGCAGAGAGAAGCAAGCATTTCTAAAAGTGTTACCCTAAGGTAGCAGCTAAACCAGGTCAGATGAATCTTATCCCAAATGCCTGGTTCTCTATACTGACTGCAAAGGGAGTCTGGGGTGATTGGTGAGCTTAAGATATTTATGCTGTACAAAGAGTTTGGCCAGATAAATTCTGATGAAATGTGGAGTGCTCTCCTCTGATTTCTGGAGATCCTGCGTTAGCTCTTCAAAATCTTCAGAAGTACTGGGTAAGTCCTGGGCTGCTGACAGCCTGGGAATCCTGTGCATTGCCTTGCATGCAACCATTTTTCCTCATGTTTTCGTGTCAGTCTCTCGTGCATTGGTCTAAATGTTGGTGTCTGTCCTGAGAACACACTCACCATAACCTCCCCATGGTGATCCAAAACTGGGAAATCAGGGTCTCAGTGCTGCATGGCTCACGAAGACACAGACTACTAGAAGATTTTATTTTGCTGGTACTTAAGATTACTTCTTTTTACAACCTGAACTTACTTATGAGCAGCTTTACTATTTTGCCAAAAGCTTTGCTTTATACCCAGAAATGGTAATTTATATTCCCACTGCATCACCCTGCTACCCTATTGCTTCCATGTTCTCAAAAAGCTGAGCTAAGTAATTGTCATTAGTTTTACAGGTATATCAGAATTATTTTTATCTGAACTCCACTGCCTGCATAGTGACATCATTTATTTTCTCTTAGTTCTTTCTTATTTATATAGGTGAGGAAGTGTCTGTTTTTTGTTCTTTATTTTCCTTAGCAATTTTTAATTTAGCTGATATTTCTTACTTTAGTTCTGGGCTTCCTGGCTCACTGATTTTTTACATTTTGGGGGTTTTTTGGTTTGGTTTGGTTTGTTTTTTTCCTGTTGTGGTTCTCTGTCTGTTCTTGGTGACTTTTTGGTCAACTCCACCATCCTCGCTTCCAGCCTCTTCCCCCTACTTTTGTTTTGAGGGCAAGTTCCATTTAACTTTTTACCATTGATTTGAAGATTCTCCAGCTTCTTCAGTGTTAAAATCCTTGAGGTATGAGTTGCATTTGAGTTTTCTAATTACTTCTATTAAGTTCTCTAAATTAGATCCTTTTGGATGTTAACATTTTGCATTCGGGTCTGATTTTGTTCTTCCATTTTAACCCAGATTATGCTCACTTCTCTAACGT